CGAATCTCAATCATTCCGAATCTACGAGTGGTCAGAGAGAGAATAAAAGAAAGTAATCGCGCTCACCTGATATTCTTACTAAACCTAGTCGAAATCCTCGCACTCTGCACCGGATTAATCATCCTCCCCGTCGTCGAATTGCTAACCGCCGAACAAGCATTCAGGTATGCCTCGCTCAACCCCCCCGTCCCCGGCCCAGTCCCCGAGGTAACAGCCGCCGCCGCCCCCTCCGTGAGATTAAACGTACACCCCGTCATATTATAAATCGCCCCATCCTCCAAAGCCTGTTCATCCAACGGCGTCAGCGTCGGCATAAGGAACAACTGATTCCCCTTGATAAACGAATTCGTCTCTTCAGCAGTCGTCATCTCAAACTCGCCCGTCCCGAACCCATTCATGCTCGCCTCCCTCAACCACCGACCCCCCTCCCACAACCCCGTCGTGGGATTCCGGGTGCCGAAGGAGGCCGTGGCGTCTGTAAAGGTTTCGTCGAATGCGAGACATAGCGGTTGCGGGTTTTTGTTGAACAGGGAAGGCTGAGCGCGGCCCCACCAGATTCAAATCCAAAATTGTCCCAACAGAAGCCCACTCAACATGTTTGTCTTTCATGGTCAGGCACTCGAGCTGAGCCCTGAAGAGCTCAAGTCCTATGGGATTGACTGGGCAGCATTCAACATCGAACATGTGTGCCACCACCAAAAAACCCATATTCCTCCAATGAAGAGTCCTCTTCCTGGTTTGGACACCAAGGCCCTCCTCCTAATCTCACTCAAGTCATCATTGAACCGCCAGAGACTGTTTTTGAACACTGATGAAGTCCTTCCCAGCCTTGATGATTTTGTTGGAGAGTAGACTGGAAGCAGCAACATCACTGCTGTAGCATTTGCCTGAGTCAATGGACTTGCCTATGCTTGTAGATTTTATCCTAATGATTTTTAACCACTTGAACTTGTATGATTTTGACCATTGACCTTCCAAACCTTTTAAAACCTCTCAATTAACCTTTCATCCTTAATGAACTGTTTACAAATCAAGTGTCTGTGTGAGAACTTAAACTTAAACTCAATTCCTATAGTCGAAGAACATCTTCAGTAAGACGATGGGTCTTGGACAGGTTAGAGCAAAGAGTGTTACAATATGAAATTGAAAGACTAAAGAATACAATATTCTAAACTATCATATAAATACTAGTAAACATGCGACTACTGTCTGTTTTACACCTTGCTAAACAGCCTACAACCATACCATAAACAACCTGTTTCCACGCCTGTTTCCTGTTTCAGAACAATGCACTAGTCATCTATGTGCCATGTGTTATCATGCCCAAATGCCTTGAGGTTTTAATCTCCATGCCTCATGTTGTCCTCATTACCTTTGTGCTGGTCGAGCATGTTCAATCAGTCTAAATCCTCTTTTCTGTCTCAACATTTTCTGCAGCTGCCTTGTGGATTAAGTCCAAAAACCATGTTGGCTTTGATGCTGATGTTTCAACAATGACAGGATCTTCAGATTCTGACAGTCTGAAAGTAAGAATGTGGTGTCAAAGACCAGGAAGCTGTGACAATTGTGACCAGTGTGATCAAACACCTGTTTCGCTGAAACCTGGGTCTTCATGGAACTTTGCACACTTTTATAGTCCAGTAATCTAGTAGAAGTTTAAATTTAGCACTTTATACCTGGTATCAAGTACCAGGAAGCACGAAAATCACCTGACTTCATGCACCAGGTATCACATATTGTACCAGCTATCAGAATAAACAATGAAAAATGGGTTCATATAAAACAGCACCCATGAGTCATGACCCAAAGGTCCAGCTGTGACAACTGGCTATGACACATGTGATGATTGGGAACACGCCAAAACTGCAAGTGACTCATTCCATTTGGAATGCATCAGCTGATGCCTCCCATGTCTGTATGTATGTACATTTTCTCTTAGTTTAGATGTCCTGGAGTCCTTTGTCAGTAATTTCTTTGGCACTTAACCCTGACTCTAATCAATAGAGAAGATTGGATAAGGCTAGAGAACAAAAAACACAATTTATCATGCAGAGGTCAATCAACAAATCTCAGATCTGACAGTTGCCATTTTGAGGGAACAATAGAAAACATGTTTGATGCCAAGATGCCAAGATGCCAACAAAAGGCCATGCATACAACACAAGGTGCGACATGGCTGCATGCAAGCTGGGTGCAGTAAACGTGGTGCAGCTGATTTGCCCATGATGCGAACCTAGCTACATAAAGTCGTACTAAAATTCGAAAATAGTTTCCAGATGATTCCTCTTCAAGTTTTCCAGACCGCTCTACCAACAACTGATGACCTGCAGGAGATATTCACGACTGCTGATTGGCCAGTCTTGTACGCACTTTAACTTTCAATATTACTCAATGCGATCTTACAATGCTACAGCAAGCCCTTGTCCAGGATCCTCCTATTAGTTGCGGAAACCTTCCGCACTCTTCAATTGGAGCAGGATGCGCTGTACATTTTAATGACTCCGGATCATAGTGACAAAGAGCAGTATCAGCGAGGACTTCGGCTGTTAAAGAAGATCACAGAGAAACTCAGATTCATCGAGGACAGTCTATGCAAATTGAAACAGCCTATAATGCCTCAGGTTTGCATAAGTGATGCTATTCCCTCGAGATGTTGTATTGACTCAACTGAACAGAACAGTGATCAAGGAGGAAGCAACTCGGTACAAGATTCCCCTGGCACTATGCTGGATGTATACCCTGCAGTTACATTATACAGGGATTGGTGTCATGACCTGATTATATTACTGGAGTCGATACCAGCAGACAATGTTCGCAGACCCCACTGGCCCGTGTTGTCTCAGATGTGAGACCTTAAAGCATGGGAACAAAACAAGGGGCGCATCAAATTGAAAACTGTTTTAGAAGCAATGCAGAGATTCATCGAAGTGGCGAGTCCTTGTCATTTTCTACTTGTTCTACCTTTCTGATGGGACTTTTGATAGATGGATAATATACCTGACATCTATAAACCATCAGGGTTAGGTTGCTATCAAGGTGGAAGTAGTACTATCTCACTCACACTCGTTGGTAAATGAATGACTATATAGAGTATATCTAATACTGATCGCTGGCTGGGGTAATGTTCTGGGTATAATATACGGTTTTTTATGGTAGTGCTCCCGAAAAGGCAATTCTACTGCACGCATGTCAGTCAGCTACTTACGCTTATATGGCTGAACCCATTGGAACGTGGATTGAGACAGTGTTGCATACCAAATTTCAACAGCAACAAATGAAATCGAGTTGTATCCAGTATTTCACCTGAGTTAGAACATTCAATCGTTCAACCTCGCTAATGATCTATTTCGGTTTCTAATGCATATTTCATCAATAAAGATTGTTCATTCCCCATCCATCTGTTGCACACTACAATTGAATCTTGATCAACGAGCAAAAAGGTCGGGTGCTCCGATCAATTCCCAGCACGTGCAGGTCAGGTGGCCAGATGCGTACACATTGATGGTCCAACCATAGCGGAACCCTATTGAACAGTATGAGCTAACATTGATTGGGAGCAAGGAAGGCGGGACAATGTTGTAGTTCAGGACAAAGAATGCTTAATCACATGGTATGAAAGTCCAATCTAATATACCATTTCCATCGACTCCTGTGTCACATTCTCAGGAATGACCCATATCATCCAACAAATCCAGTCTACCATCTGCACCTGTCTATAGTTCCTGAGATATAGCCTGATACTGCATCCTATTAGACATTGAAATGGATTCTGTTTCCACGGATGGGCTGTTTTGAGGTCATGAAGAGGAACAACTCCTTATAGCTCATCGGCTTGAAATCATTCAACTATCAAGTCTCTTCTGCTCTTCGAGGCTCAGAATCTTTCTTCTGTTCATTCAGGAATCCTTGAATTTCTTTCAGGTGTCCATTCAAGTATTCTCTCATCCGTTCATCCAGTCGATCGAGTCTCCCTTCCGCTCATACAGGCGTCGAGTCTTGTTGAATCAGCGATCATTCACGCCACACATTAGCTAATCTTTGCTGCAAGTTCACTGTCTCGTGACTATGCTACTCCGAATCCCCCCGTCTCCCTCAGAGTTCCATCAACAGCATCAATATCACGAGCATCAGAGAGTCTTTGGTCAGGAGCTATAAATGCTAGACTGGCAGAAGATAGACTACTCACCAATAAGTTCCAGTACAAGAACAAGGCCCTTGAAAAGGCTGTGGTACTGAACACTTGGAGGGGAACACTGAAAAACGAAGGCTTCTTACCCGTGGATTGGATTCACGGACTGGAGGTTTTAGTGGGTATAGGAAGGCAGACTGCACACACTGCAGAAGAAGACAATGAAAGTTTTGCAGATGACAATAGCCTGTCTGATTTTGACAATGGCTAGCCTTTCGAGTCCCACACTGCTGTCTTACTATAGATGGCGTGTGTAATGCATTACCTTCCGGGGTGGTCTTTCCGCATCTTATCTGAGGTCTATTGCTCCTCAATACTGATACATAATGTACACCTAGAGGCGCATCAATGCGTTGTCTGGGTGTTACTTTGTAACACCAAAAAAAAAAATATCACGAGCATCAATTGATCGAGGACTTGTACCGAACCTCCGTCACCCCGCAATAGACCTGAAATTTCCGTCGACACGGACCGAAATCTCGTTCTGTAGTCAGGACTCACACTCTCCTACGACAGACGGAATTATCGACCAAGAGGGATCCAATAAGGATCAACAAAGGATCGACAAAAAGAGCACGATTCTCCCAAGGACATACCTACTTTGCGAAGCAAGGCGCCGAAAATCGCCCTCATTGCGAGAACAACAAGTCAACAAACGGATTTCGGTAATAACAGGCCGAGAGAGTAGATTCATGGAGAACGGAATGGATTCTTGGAGAACAGAATAGATTTCGGAGAACAAACAAGTTAAAGACAGAGCTTCTCGTCTCCTCATTGTAAGACCCCAAAAAAAGCCATGGTATTCAACTATTGCATTAAGAAGGAATTGAACCTCCGGCGGGTCAAACAACCAACTCAGACAAGATATGGCAACGACCCAGGTTACCACTACCCCATAAATACATGCAAGAGGTTGGGCATGAGATGCCAGGTGAGGGACCCAGGAGGGTGGAAGGTAAGACTAACGTTGAATCTGAAAGGTCCTCCATCATCCATGTTGAGACCCGTCATCCTGAACCTCCACTTGCCTCTGATTTCAATGATGAACATCTCCCTCGGATTTCATGTACGAACTGTCTCCTTCGGAATTTAATCACGAACATCTCCGAATGAGGACTCCATCGCCTCGCAAATCTCTTCGAGTTGCCATTGATACCGACCGAATCTCGCTCTCTCCTACTTATGACGGAGCTATCGACCAAGAGGGATCAAGGAACTCCGGGGAAAAGATTGAGACGAAAAGATCAACGAAAGGATCGACGTACATACTGTACTTTGAGATGCAAGGTCCCAAAACCTTCTCCCTGCAACGAAAAGTCTCTCGCCAACGAACGAAAATTCTCTCGCCAACGAACGAAAATTCTCTCGCCAACGAAAGAAAATCACTCGCCTCATTGCGAGCACAACAAGCCAACGGAATAAAATTTGAGGAATAACAAACCACAGAACAGAACATATTTTTAGAGAACAAGTCAAAGAAAGAGCTGGCTAATAATTTTCTTGGGCTGGTCTCCGTAACTCGAGGACAAAAAGAAGCTCATCAAATATATCTTCATGCATTAAGAAGGAATCGAACCTCCGGCGGGTCGAGAGACCTTTTCAGACGGGATATGGCAACGACCCAGGTTACCACTACCCCATTAATACATACAAGCGGTCGGGCATGAGACGTGAAGTAAGGGACCGTGAGCCGTGAAGTGAGGAACCCGGGATGGTGGGAGACAAGTCTCTGACATCAACTCCATTGCGAGTCTCTCATCCTCATCCATTGAATCTGATTGCGAGCCTTTCAGCCCCTGCGTTGAATCTGAGAACAAGTGGTTCCCCCTTTTGAATATGAAGACAACCAACTCCGTCATTCATGTCGAGTCCCGTCATCCTGAATCTCCCCACTTGTCTCTGATTTAGTTACAAACATCTCACTCGGAGTTCAATCACGAGCATCAATTGATTGAGGACTTGTACCGAGTCTCCATCACCTCGCAATACACCTCAAATCGCCTCAAATCTCCGTCGACACCGACCGAAATCTCGTTCTATAGTCGCACTCTCCTACGACGGACGGAATTATCGACCAAGGGGGATCCAATAAGGATCGACAAAAAGAGCACAATTCTCCCAAGGACATACATACATACTCTGAGAAGCAAGGCGCCGAAAATCGCCTCATTGTGAGAACAACAAGCCAACAAACCGATTTCGAGGAATTAACAAGCCAACAAACAAACTCTTCAAGAGCAGGACACATATCGTTCATTCCTCAAATATTGCTCATTCCTCAAATATCGTCGTCGGGATAAAAGCTAGAACAAGTAAAAGAAAGAAAGAAAGAAAGAGCTTGTCTTGTTGTTCCAAGTTAATGCCCACAAAAACTCTCAACTGCGATCTGACATATGCATTAAGAGGGAATTGAACCCCCGGCGGGTCGACAGAGTCAACAGAGTCAACGAATACATCTTATGGCAACGACCCAGGTTACCACTACCCCATTAATGCATACAAGAGGTCGGGCGTGAGACATCAAGTGAGGGACCTGGGATGGTGGGAGGTAAGTCTCTGACGTTCAACTTCATTGCGAGTCTTTCAGCCCCTTCGTTAATCTGATTGCGAGTCTCTCAGACATTGAATCTGATCGCGAGCTCAAAATCTGAAAACAAGTCTGTCATTCATTCATCCCGAATCCTCCATTCATTTGCCTCTGATTTTAAAATACGAAACCGTCTCCCTCGGAGTTGCATCAACAACGTCAATTGATTGAGGACTTGTACCGAGTCCAATACACCTCAAATCGCCTCAAATCTCTGTCGACACGGACCGAAATCTCGCTCTGTAGTCGCACTCTCCTACGACGGACGGTATTATCGACCAAGAGGGATCCAATAAGGATCAACAAAGTTTGGACAAAGAATCAACGAAATGATCGGAGAAAGATCCACGAAGAATCAACAAAGGATCAACAAAAGAGCACAATTCTCCCAAGGACATACCTACTTTGAGAAGCAAGGCGCCGAAAATCGTCTCATTGCGAGCTAACAAACCGATTTCGAGGAATAACAGGCCGGCAGAATAGATTCGAGGAGAACAGAACAGAACAGATTTCGGAGAGTTGTAACGCCCCCAAAAAAAGTACTCAGTCTGGAGACATTGCATTAAGAGGGAATTGAACCCCCGGCGGGTCGACAGACCTCAACGGAATCCAATTTATGGCAACGACCCAGGTTACCACTACCCCATTAATGCATACAGGCTGCGGGGCGAGGGACCTCAGCTCAAGGAAAATGGACGTTGAGATGTGCGAGTTGACTTGATTGCGAGTTGAATTCTCGGCTTGACATGATATTATATTATCCTGGAGTCACGGTCGCCTTTGACTGTCGATTCCAGTTCCTCTCTTCATAAATTTGTCGATTTGGAATCTCTCGAGTCTCAGACCTGATCTCTCTCTTTCTCTCGCAAAACATCTCTATATCTGTTCTACATTCACAGTCCAATAATATACCACGTACCAAAACAACGAACGACAGATTATAAAAAGAAATGTACCAATACTTAATACGAAACCACCAAAATGACAGTGTCCTCTTTCCCTTTCTCTTTGTCTCGTCCTCTTTCACTTTCTCTTGTTTTTCCCTTGCCGAGGATGATCGGACGTAGAAGGAACGTCTCGTCCTGCCTCGCTTAGTCCCGGCTCGTTTAGTCCAGTCTCCACACTCGCTCGTCCAGTCTCCAAACTCAGAGATCCAAGTCCAAGAGAAACCCGCAAGGTCCAGTGCAAGAGACACCTGCTCGACTCAGTCCAAAGAGATACCCGTGCAAGAAATACCTCTGAAATAAACGCAATCGCTCTAATACAGGCCAAAAAGACAACACTTTAGGATTATGCATTAAGAGGAAATCAAACCCCCGACGGGTCAAGTCAATCCAATTTCCTGGACGCCTCATATGGCAACGACCCAGGTTAAATGACAGTGTCCTCGTCCTCTTTCTCTTTGTCTCGTCCTCTTTCTCTTTCTCTTGTTCTTCCCTTGCCGAGAACGTCTCGTCCTGCCTCGCTTAGCCCCGGCTCGTCTAGTCTCCAAACTCACTCGTCCAGTCTCCAAACTCAGAGATCCAAGTCCAAGAGATACCCTCAAGATCCAGTCCAAAAAGATACCCCTGCAGGAGATACCTTTGAAACAAACACAAGACAACGCAATCGCGCTAATATAGGCCAAAATTCGCGCTAATATAGGCCAAAATTCGCTCTAATATAGACCAAAAAGAGAATGTTAATATAGAGCCAAAAAGAAAACACTCTAGGTGCATGCATTAAGAGGGAATCGAACCCCCGGCGGGTCGAGAGGATGCACACCGTTTATCACTACGTATGGCAACGACCCAGGTTACCACTACCCCATTAATGCATGCGAGATGTGAGGCGTGGGAGGCCAAGGGTGGGAGAGTGGGAGGTACGACTCTGACGTTGAGGTATCTGACATTGTGAGATATCCGACTTTGCATCGATTGCGAATCCCGCGAGCCCGCATGAACATTGACCTACATGCAGACTCCCCGAAAGGAACAACAGAAGTTCACGAAAGGATCAACAGGACGGCACGGAAGGATCAACAGAACGGCACGAAAGGAACAACAGAACTTCACGAAAGGATCGAGCAAGGACCGACGAACCATCAACGCTTCAACGATCGCCAGACCTCGCTCCCAAATCTCTCTCGCAAACCATCTATAAGTTATATCTGTTCAACAACAAATCTGTTCTATATCACAGTCCAATAACATACCACGTACCCAAAACAACGAACGACGGATTATAAAAAAAGAATGTACCAATAATACGAAACGCGATTGTACCAAAATGACAGTGTCCGATGCCTTCTCTCTTTCTCTTCTCTCAACACATCTCCCACATCTTCACATAATCCACCACCAACGCCCTATCCCTAATATCCCCACTACTATACCCCGGCCACGTAGGCAACCACTCCGCCCTCTTCTCCCACCAACTCTTCATCGCAACACTGCTCCCATCAAGCCACGGCTTGTCCCCCTGCCCCTCCGGAAACCACCCCGTCCTCGACCCAACCGCCAGGTTCAGAATCAAATAAAACGGCCGATCAAACGGCGCGGCTTTTGCCCCGCCCTCGGAGGCGGCGGCCCAGGGGTTGGTGAGCTGCTGGATGGCGCCGGTGGAGGTGTTGGTGAACGTATCGGGATAATCGCCGCGTGTGAAAAAGTCCTGCTTGAATGGAATGTCCAAAAGCGTATGTAAGCGTGTGTCGATAGAGACACGGATAAAGTCTGGCGTCCACTGCGACGAGAGGCGTTAGTGGACGAGTTATTATAGAACGACGCTGCTTACCTCCAATCGATACGTATGGAACCCTTCATCGAACCCAGTACGCTTATCGCTCCACCACGAGTACGATTTCGCGACAGAGTTGAGGAGGGCGGTTGGGCCCCAGTTGAGAGATGCTAGAAGTGAATGAGGAGCTGAGAGAGGAGAGGCAAGGAAGAAGACGGACATTGAACATAATTCCTCCCTCTTGCAGTGTACTCGATACCATTCCCACGACTTTCCACAATATCAATCTCGCCGGAGCGAGGCCAGGCGCCGTAAAAGCCGTCGGTAGATTTGGTTGGGTTGTTGACGTCTCCCTCCAGCTCATCCTTTGGCACCGGCAACATCCACATAGCAGGCCACATCCAGTCTCCTCGGGGCATCTTTGCGCGAATCTCAATCATTCCGAATCTACGAGTGGTTAGAGAGAGAGAATGAAAGAAAAGTAACGGCTCACCTGATATTCTTACTAAACCTAGTCGAAATCCTAGCACTCTGTACCGGATTAATCATCCTCCCCGTCGTCGAATTGCTAACCGCCGAACAAGCATTAAGGTATGCATCGCTCAACCCCCCCGTCCCCGGCCCAGTCCCCGAGGTAACAGCCGCCGCCGCCCCCTCCGTGAGATTAAACGTACACCCCGTCATATTATAAATCGCCCCATCCTCCAAAGCCTGTTCATCCAACGGCGTCAGCGTCGGCATAAGGAACAACTGATTCCCCTTGATAAACGAATTCGTCTCTTCAGCAGTCGTCATCTCAAACTCGCCCGTCCCAAACCCATTCATGCTCGCCTCCCTCAACCACCGACCCCCCTCCCACAACCCCGTCGTGGGATTCCGGGTGCCGAAGGAGGCCGTGGCGTCCGTGAAGGTTTCGTCGAATGCGAGACATAGCGGTTGGGGGCTCTTGTTAAACAGCGAAGGCGCAGCACGACCGGATTGACTCGCGCCGAGATACTTGCCGGCCTCGATGCCCTCGACAAAACCATCGGCCGTGCGTTCGGGGTATGCGATGGATTTGGGAGACCGCATAAACGCGCCAACAGGGCCGTACGGGCCGTCATTCGGCGCGATAAGCATACGCGTAGCCGTCGAATGCATCTCAAACAGTGCTGCGGCGAACAAAGTGAGCACAAAGATAAAAAATGAGCAATCGTCTCCGACTCACCCTGAAACACCCCAATCCCAACTCCAACAAAAAACATGAGCCAGACAATCCAATAACTAATCGTCCCCCTCATGCTCTTGCTCTTCTCCCTCAACCACGGCTTTGCGATGGGCGTATACGGGAACGACGACGTCGCAGGGCTGGACGAGCTCCAGATGCTCTTCATAACCCTTCGGAACCATCCGGGCTCCGGCACGGGACTCCCATCGCTAAACGTCGTCGGCGGGGGGTTATTCCGGTCCGTAAGTGTATAATCCAACAAATGCGACTTCATACGACTCGCTGCCTTGCGCTGTCGTATACCCTCTTGGTCCTGGTCGTTCCGGAGCGGCGACGCTTTGAGAGAGGCGGTGCTGGGTCGGCCGAACGAGGTGACGCCGCCGTTGGACGCGAACGAAGTGACGCCGCCGTTGGACGCGAACGTTGTCAGGTTGGAGGCTGTTCCGAATGAGGTGAGGCCATTGGTAGCACCAACCATCGAGCTCAGCGAATTCGTAGAGGAATGATGTGCACCGATTGAGAAATGGGCCTTTTTGACCGCTGCGAAGGCCGTTGCTGATGCGAGGTCTGCGGCCGAGATTCGGGGGGAGGACGGGGCGGAGGCGCCGGGAGAGCTCGACGGGCGAGAGGCACCGTGAGAGGTCGAGGGGGGTGACGGTCTTTCTCTTTCCTTTCCATGTCCGTCTTTTGCAGCGAGTGAGAAGGACAGAGACGTGGGTGATACAGGCGGCGAGAGGGAGGAGCTCGATGAGATTATGGGTATCGGTTTGATGGAGGAAGAGGTCGATGGTGAAGGGGCATGTCCATATCCTCGATCCGCATCTTCAACCTCGATAGACACTGACGACGGCCGCGTCGAAAATGGGTCTGACATCTAGAGCGGTGAAGCGAGCGACGAGAGCGAAAAGAGCGAAAAGAGCAAGGGAGAGTAGCGAAAAGAGCAAGGGAGAGTAGGCAAGTGATAGTGATAAATGATCGACAGCGATAGCGACGAGGGATAAGAAAAGGACGGACAAAACATAATCAGCCCCATTCCACCAAAAGCAATCGCACTCACCTCGATAATTCCCAATTAACGAACGTATGTTCCAACTGCTGCTCTGGATCTGGTGTCCGGAAAGCTGGTATCGCAAAGCGAATGCTAGCGAAAACCAAAGCGGCGTCGCGTGCGGAGGAGAGAGAGATGAAGGGAGAAAGGTAGGATCCACAACGCAATGGAATGCTTTTGTCAAAATGAGAAAAGATCAAGCGAGACGTCTTTCAGCAGTGCCTCTTCCTTATCCAGACGTCAGCGATGTGCCTCGGTCGACGTGCCTGGCCGATAATCCTAACGTGGACGTGATATTCCCAACCTGGACGTCGATATTCCCAACCTGGACGTCGGAATCCCAATCTGGACGTCGGCCTGTCTTTTCTGGCACCGATAATCCTATCGTGGCTGCGAAATGTGCCTGTCATCAACAGGAAGAATAGAATGCTGTCATTATAGACATACCGCTGAAAGATGGAATGATACCGCTGTCTGACTTTCGACTGATTGGTTATGGGCTGTCGACTGATTGGTTATCTCGGTGGCTCGGTGGCTCGGTGGAACGAATGGAATAGATCTGCGTGGTGGAATGATATGTCGGTCCACGGAATGATATGTCTGTGACTGAATCCTACACTCGAATGGTTTCACCCTCTCGTCGTCGTCGTAGAAGTAGAAAGAAACGAGCTAGCTGGAAGAAACGAGCTAGGTGGCAGGAACCAGGCTACAAGAACCACAAAGCTTCCTCTGGCAAGAACCACGAAGCTTACGCTGGCCAGGGACCACGGCTTACGCTGGTTGCTCGATCCCTCCACCGGCTTACGCAGCCCGCTCGATCTCTCGCCCAAATCGGCAGAAGCGTCTTCGTCATCGCAGACCTCGTTCTCCTCCGATACGCGCCTGTCGCCGTGAAATGCTTGAAGGAAATCGCCGTGTATGTAGTACAAAGGAATCGCCGTGTACACAGTACAAAGGAATCGCCGAGTAGTACAAAGAAATCGCCGAGATCGAGCTTGGCTTGGAAGCCGGCGTGTCGAGAACAAGCCCAGGCGCCGGCGTATCGAACAAGGCGCAAAGGCCGAGAACAGGAACAACATTTCGAAGCATGCCACCTGTCTGTCTGTCCGACTAGGCTTCTCTCGCTGTCCGACTAAGCTTCTCTATGTAGCTGTCCGACTAGATAAGCTTCTCTCGCTGACCAACTAGGCTTCAGGAACAGCGTGGTGCTGTCAAGCGCTGTCTCGGAGACGGAGGGAGGGAGGTTGAGAGGTCGGGGGGAGGATAAAAGGAGAGGGGAGGATAAAAAGGAGAGATAAGACGCGAAAAAGAGCAAGCGGTCGTGCTCTTCTTTAGCTTTTTCCCCTCTATTCCACTGCTTTTTTCTCTCTATTCCACTGTTGGCCAAACGACGATGACGACGACATATGATTCATTTTGTGGAATGTGGAGATATGGGCGTGGGAAGTACATTTCGGGCTTGGACGTCAATTCCGTGCGGACTGGTGTTCGTTCGGCGCAGACTGAGGTGTTCGTTCGGCGCAGACTGAGGTGTTTGTTCGGCTTTGAATCTGCGTTCGCTTCGGCTTTGCAGACTGAGAGGTATGTAGAGGTTCGACGCGACGGATAACAAAATTCCCGATATTTGAAAGGAACGGTGGAAGAATTGGGAGAGGAGGGAGATCTCGGATGACTAGGGAGGTCTCGGATGACTAGGGAGATCTCGGATGACTAGGGAGATTTCGGATGACTCTCTGCTAGGTTATCATAGTAATTAATACCTGGCTGCTTTATCGTATGTTATGTAAGTACTATAATTCTCTTGTCAGGAATTTCCCTTTCTCTTTCTTTCGATATTTCCTCGTGAGCAGAAAGCTTTTGTCTCGTCCGTCATTCATTCCTTGACTATGAGACGTCCTCCTTCGTCTTACAAGCCATCCCCGCCCCCCTCTCATGCATTAATGGGGTAGTGGTAACCTGGGTCGTTGCCATGCGGAATCACGCGATGTATCAACGTGTCGACCCGCCGGGGGTTCGATTCCCTCTTAATGCACTCGATCATGGCTTTCTTTTGGTTCCGCCGAATTTTCTTTTGGTTCCGTTCCGCCGATTTTTCTTTTGGTTCCGTTCCGTCTAATTTTTCTTTTGGTTTGGCCCATTTTTCTTGGTTTGGCCTCGATGAAGACTATTTCTCAGCTACGGTGGAGACCACGAGGGTTCGTCCTTGAACGTCCTCAACGCTCTACCTCTATGCATTAATGGGGTAGTGGTAACCTGGGTTGTTGCCATGTGGCATCAACTTGTATTTCTCGACCCGCCGGGGGTTCGATTCCCTCTTGATGCACTGTATTTGGTGGTTTGTCCAATAATACTTTTTTGGTTTTTTAGCTTGGTTTTTTGGTCTCGGTTCATGATTGATCTTTTGGTTTGGCCTTCGATAAAGACCGGAAGCGCGATTAAAGACGACAAGGGTTCAGTCCCTCCTTGAACGTCCTCAACACTCCACACCCATGCATTAATGGGGTAGTGGTAACCTGGGTCGTTGCCATGTCGCCTTGACCTACTCTCTCTCGACCCGCCGGGGGTTCGATTCCCTCTTAATGCACTATCTACGATCAAGTTACTTTTTGTTTGGCTTCGGCAGAGACGTTCAGTCGCTCCTTGTCCGTCATCGCTTGGTAGTCAGTCATTGATGCCTTACCTGTATGCGTTAATGGGGTAGTAGTAACCTGGGTCGTTGCTATGTCTCGTCGACTTACCTCTCTCGACCCGCCGGGGGTTCAATTCCCTCTTAATGCATTATTGACAATTCTGACATTTTTTGTTTGGCTTCGGTGGTGGAGAGCAGAGACGTTCTCCGTCATCGCTTGATAGTCATTGATGCCTTATCTCTATGCATTAATGGGGTAGTGGTAACCTGGGTCGTTGCCATGTTGCGCTTGAATGTCGTTCTCGACCCGCCGGGGGTTCAATTCCCTCTTAATGCACTAAGTCTCTTTGGATTTTGTTTTTGTTTGGCCTTGGTAAATGATAATCTTTTTGTTTTAGCCTGGATGAAGACCAGAGGCTCAAAGACCAGAGACGTACGGTCCCTCCTTGTGCATCGTCTACACTCCACACCCATGCATTGATGGGGTAGTAGTGACCTGGGTTGTTAATGCGTGAGTCCTCTCGACCCGCTGGGGGTTCAATTCCCTCTTAATGCACTTGAACCTGTTCGAATGACTTTTTTTTTGTATCAAATACCTTTTTTTAAATTTCATTTGGCAATGATGTCCATATGGTTGAATTCTTATCGTTGAACATCCGCGCGTGCATGCATGAAGATTCAGTCTGCTCACCTATCCATGAAGATCCAGTGCACCCATCCGGTCTTTGCCCTTGTCGCAGTCTTTTTGTTCAGTCGCTCCTTGTCCGTCATCGCTTGGTAGTCATTGATACCTTACCTCTATGCGTCAATGGGCCTCTATGCGTTGATAGGGTAGTAGTAACCTGGGTCGTTGCCATGTCGCACCTACTAATCTCTCTCGACCCGCCGGGGGTTCAATTCCCTCTTAATGCACTAAAACTTGTTCAAATAAGTGTTTTTTTGGTTTCATTTCACAATGATGTCCATATGGTTGAAAACATCTTGCGCACGCATGCATGAAGATGAGGTCTGCTCGCCTATTTATGAAGATCCAGTCTGCTCACCTATCCATGAAGATCCAGTGCACCCATCCATTCCTTGCCCTTTTCGCAGTCTTTTCGTTCAGTCGCTCCTTGTCCGTCATCGCTTGGTAGTTATTGATGCCTTACCTCTATGCGTCAATGGGCCTATATGCGTTGATAGGGTAGTAGTAACCTGGGTTGTTGCCATGTCGCCTTGACCTACTCTCTCTCGACCCGCCGGGGGTTCAATTCCCTCTTAATGCACTATAGTCTGTACCACCTGGTTTTTTTTGTATCAAATAGTTTTTTTTTTGTTTCATTTCGCAATGATGTCCATATGGTTGAATTGTTATCACTGAAAATCCCGCGCATCCATAAAGATCCAGTCCGCCTGCCCATGCATGAAGATCTAGCCCACCCTAAATCCAGTCCGTTCACCCACTCATCCAGTCTTTGCCCTTTTCGCAGTTTTTTCCCTTTTTCGCAGCGCTCGCTTCGCGCCTTCTTCTGACTTGCGGAATACCTTGAGCCTCGGAATAGGAACACGTACCTTGATCCTCGGAATAAGGAATAAGGAATTGAGCCTTGGAATAGGCATACTTACCTTGCGCCTCGCAATAAGGAATACTTACCTTGGGCCTTGGAACAAGGAACAAGGAATCGGCCCTGGCTTGTGGAATCAAGACTCGGTCTTGTTTGACATTGTTCAGAAGGAGTGGTGAGTTACTTGAATTGAGAGTGCTGAGTTACTTGAATTGAGAGTGCTGAGTTACTTGAGTCGAGATTGATACTTTCAAGTCATCCATCCCGATGCGGCTTTCAGCGTCCAGACTCGATTATCATGAAAGACTTTTGTAATCACCGCTTATCTGACGTGTCGAATCAACGCCCGAACTGTTTTTTCTTCTCTTGAATTGTTTGTTTGCTGGGTAGGAACTCATGGCAGAATAGGAACTCACGGCAGAATACCGAGCTCAGGCTCCAATGTGGCGTGGTATGCGGTCTCGAGACGCCTTCATCCATCCAGTCTCGGGTAGCTGTTCATCTAGAGTCTCGCTCGTCATGCAGTCTTGATCGCAGGTAGAAAGAAACAACAAAATCACGAGTACATGTGGACAGAAACAATAAATCGCAGGTAGACAGAGACAAAGAAAATCGCGAGTACATGGACAGAAACAACAAAATCGCGAGTCACTACGTATCACGGCTATATATAGAGGGTGTGAACACATGACCCATTCAAGGCTACTCCAACCTTCTCAAATAGGTGTTGTACAGCTGTGAATATGTCCCTAGTTGGAGGTATTCACTGGCCATGAAAATGTGAGATTATGTCAACAATATGCGAGCATAAGGAACACAGGGAGGATATAATTTGAACTTCAGGTCCCTCTGTGCCAGGCTCGGCGGCAGAGTCAGAGCTGCCTGGATACTGGATCCAGTACGCAACTTCAGTGGTGTCCAGCATGCGGCATCATTGAAAGAGCAGTACATAGTCCTCGGATATATGAGGCACATTCAAGACCTCAAATATGGACCTACTCGCGTCTATTCGAGATCTATTTCGGCATATTCCAGGGCTCGAATAGGTCGTCGGCTAATATCTTGAATAGGCGCCTAAACACACGTACTCACATCTATTTCCGCATATTCACACCCTCTATATATATATAGCCGTGGTACGTGGAACCTCATAAAACGTCTCGGATTTTCTTTTGCGAGTCAAGGAACTAGCTTGAGTCCAGAGGACAGAATCCTGTACTATCCTATCCTCTGGTGTTTAGCCTCAAGGGCTTGAGAATGAATGGGTTCACAGGTGCACTTGCGAGTTTTATCGGGAATCTAGAGTGGGCTTTATCAGAAGTCTAGAGTCTTATCATCGTCTTGAAGAAAGCCCAACTCTTATCGTCTTGAAATCCCAACTCTTATCATCTTGAAAGTCCAACTTGGCCGTTCACCCATTCCTCTTTTTTGCGGATGACGAGCCTTGTTGTATCAGCTTGGAATATGTAGTAAGTGACCCGTGGACCTGCGGAATACGCGAGGCAAAGCATGTGTGAGTCTTGTGGAAGGACTTTTATGCGAGTCCTAATATTTTGCCGCTGAATCCTAGTACTTTGATGCTGAGTAATGGTTTCAAGTACTGATCCCGACTCGATTTGACCTTGCACTGGTTTGATGTTGCTTATCTGACTTGAGTTTTCATGAAGCAATGCAGGAAAGGACTCAGTGCGGCTTCAGCGGAATAGCACTCACTGCGCTTCAGCAGGATAGGGACTTGAGGCCTATTGCAGCTTCAGCGAAATAGGACTCAATATAGGTGGCGCAATATTCGTGTTAGGCCAAGTTGGGTCTCTATGCAAGTCGCTGATCTGTACTAGCCACTAGGTTGGTGGGTTGCAAAGCAGAGATGGCCAGGGATTAAAGTGTCGATGGGTGTCACCAGATGGGTTGGAGATTTCTTGGTTTTTGTTGGACTACCTTTTTATGTTATTGCAAGACTTTTCCTTCTTGTACTGCCATTTACCTCTTTGCGCAACCTTCCTTCTGGGGCATTCCAGCAGGTTGATTGGACTGTTTACATACCCCATATATAAATGCAATGAAATTACTAGAGGCTTTCTTAAAAGAGCTTGATGAGGGTACAAAATTTCGAATTCCAGTCTATTTCTGCACATTGCAGACTGAATGCACAGACAAGAGCTAGTGAAAAACCGTGCTGATTATTTTCAGGCCATGGCCATATGTGAAAATCATGTTCATCTCCTCTGGGGATTGTGGTCTTTGACACACCTTTGACAGATCTCCACACTACCTGATTTCTTCCCCTCCCAACCAGCTGGCCCATTATCCATACATGCAACTTGAACTATTTTTGAAATTTCAGCTGTACATATTATATATGTGAATTATGATTAAATATAGAACGCCAGTGACTAATCCATGTTTATGCATACAAAACCCAACACAAGTAATTCAAACCAGATCTTCTGTTTTTTGAGCTTTGGGAACCTTTTCCATGTCATAGCGGCTCTCTGTATGTGAGTAGACTCCAACTGTGACCTCTGCCTGACTCTGGGTCTCTATGGAGTCTGTTGTTTCGTGCAGATGAGACGATCGAGCAAAGGATATGTGTGTTTCCAGATTTGTATCATCATTGACAAATACCCCAGTGACATGAGCAATGGAGTATTGGTGGCTCACAATCAAGACAACAAGACTTGGGTATGTTGCCTATGTAACAATTAGTGAACAATGATGAGGATCAGAGAAACTGAAACTCACAGAAAAGATATTCATTATGGCACACCAAATATGTGTTGCTATATCCAAGGTGCTGACTGGTGTATTATCTGTAATAGTCAGGCAGAGAGTGATGACCTAAATTGTGAATATAGAGTCTTGACATGAATAGAAGAGAGAAAACATACCTGGAACACCACATAAACTAGGCCAGATTCTGTCAAGAACATCAAGACCTTTCCGGCCCCTGAATTTCCCGGCCCAATTGTCTCTTTCATAAATTTCCGGTACTGGCTACAGTGAGATTAGAATACACATTCTAAACAAAACAAAAAAAACATACTATGCTTTGATACCAATGAGAATTACAGCTATGGCATTGGTTGCAATGCTCATAATGGAACCCGCCAAGACCAGATCTGCAGACTGCCCTTGGAGGAAATCCGGACTGATGAAGGCAATAGTTTGCATGACAGATGATGTCAGAAAGATGGCTTGATATTCAAAGTAAGACAATTGAATCAAAAACACCTAGAACCTCCTACAGAATGTTGCCAGTAAAGTCAGTGCTGGAAGAATTATCAAACTGTGTCGATCCGGCCAGATGGCCCATGCTCGCCAAACAACAATGCCATCACCAAAAATGACCTAAAATGCTTTATATCAGCATCAATTGGATAGAATTGGAATCAGGACTGACCAATAATGCATTACCAGTGCTGCCACTAAGCCACGTCTGAGCCAGCTCAAGTCGCAGGATGCTAGAATTTGCAATGTCAACTCGTTGTGAAAGCTCCAACTCCGGATTATCAATGAGAGCCACAGCCATCAATCTCAAGAAACTTGTGATGAATAGGCAAAAGTAGGTGGTGATGAGCAGGAATATGAGGGTTAACATTGCACAGAGAGCCCACGTTGCTCTTGTTTTGTTGTGTTTCCTACCGGACAAAATTGAGTACAAGGTTCAGATTGACTGAAGAAGGGCTGACGCAAGTAGGTTATACAATGCCAAAGAGGCGAGCAACACATAGATGCCTAGCACATGCTAATCAGCAATGAAAATGAAACAGAGAAGTGTTCAATACCATAGCAAAAGGTCAGAGCATCCTAATCAGAATTGAATTAGAGATTCGTCATATCTATCAGGAGGCACTCACCACTGAGCAGAAGCTTTCAATAAGTGCTTGACCTACTTCCTGGAGCAACAGAATTTCATCTGGTGTCATACTGGTTGGTTGGGGAGATGTGTGTGTTGTTGTCATACAATGCAGCATTTTATAAACACGGAGGTCATGTATTCTTGGCGCTCAAA